GTGAGTGTGTTGTATGACAGGTGTATTGTGAGGGTGTTGTATTACAGGTGTATTGTGAGGGTGTTGTATGACAGATGTATTGTGAGGGTGTTGTATGACGTGTATTGTGAGTGTGTTGTATGACGTGTATTGTGAGTGTGTTGTATGACAGGTGTATTGTGAGGGTGTTGTATGACGTGTATTGTGAGGGTGTTGTATGACGTGTATTGTGAGGGTGTTGTATGACGTGTATTGTGAGTGTGTTGTATGACGTGTATTGTGAGTGTGTTGTATGACGTGTATTGTGAGGGTGTTGTATGACAGGTGTATTGTGAGGGTGTTGTATGACGTGTATTGTGAGGGTGTTGTATGACAGATGTATTGTGAGGGTGTTGTATGACAGATGTATTGTGAGTGTGTTGTATGACGTGTATTGTGAGTGTGTTGTATGACGTGTATTGTGAGGGTGTTGTATGACAGATGTATTGTGAGTGTGTTGTATGACAGATGTATTGTGAGGGTGTTGTATGACAGATGTATTGTGAGGGTGTTGTATGACAGATGTATTGTGAGGGTGTTGTATGACGTGTATTGTGAGTGTGTTGTATGACAGGTGTATTGTGAGTGTGTTGTATGACAGGTGTATTGTGAGTGTGTTGTATGACAGATGTATTGTGAGGGTGTTGTATTACAGATGTATTGTGAGGGTGTTGTATGACGTGTATTGTGAGTGTGTTGTATGACGTGTATTGTGAGTGTGTTGTATGACAGGTGTATTGTGAGTGTGTTGTATGACGTGTATTGTGAGTGTGTTGTATGACAGGTGTATTGTGAGTGTGTTGTATGACGTGTATTGTGAGTGTGTTGTATGACAGGTGTATTGTGAGGGTGTTGTATGACAGGTGTATTGTGAGGGTGTTGTATGACAGGTGTATTGTGAGGGTGTTGTATGACAGGTGTATTGTGAGGGTGTTGTATGACAGATGTATTATGCAGGAGCTATATGACTTGGTTGTTAACACCTGTCTGTGACCGCTCTTCCTGTCTGTGCAGTCCGTCTTCCAAAAATGGGGAGGTAAATGTAACAGCCCCATAAGTGCCATTATGTACTATGTGTGACAGTCAAGAATTCTACATATTTTCACTTAATATTGAATCGTGCTGTCATATATATATATTGTGAATATTTGAGTTCACCTGAAAAGCTGAATAGAAAAACCACGGCCTAACCTAACCGTCTTAGTTTTTGAAGATAAGCATTTTATTGCTTATTAATTACAATTCCTACTTAACCTATAGATATACTAATATTACAGTTTTATAAAAATAATAAAACAAAACTAAAATATTTCAATAAATTGTAAAGTTACTCAGGATATTTTCAAATTTTGTGTCAAATTTCTATTGTTTTAAAAACTGAAAAAGAAATTCCTGATATTTAAAACTAGTGTATAGCGAACTGAAACTTTAAAACTTCATCTTAAAATTCTAAGTGTCTTAACAGAAAACGAGGAGAATAAATGGGGAGGTAAACGTAACAGCTCCATAAGTGCAAATATGTACTATTATGACAGTCAGGAATGTACTTATTGCACTTATTACTAAAACGCACTATTAATTTGGAGGATGGGTAACTCTGTGTGCAGAGGCCTGGCCGAGGACCGGGCCGCGGGGACGCTGATCCCCGAAATCATCTCAAGATAACCTCAAGGTGTGTACTCACCTAGATGAGCTGGGGGGGGGGGGTGAGCTTCGGTTAATTGGTCCTGCTTTTCAACCATCAAACAACTGGTGTACAGGTTCCTGAGTCTGCCTGGGTGGAGGGCAGTGGGCGGGGTCTGCTGGATGGAGGGCAGTGGGCGGGGTCCGCCTGGGTGGAGGGCAGTGGGCGGGGTCAGCCTGGGTGGAGGGCAGTGGGCGGGGTCCGCCTGGGTGGAGGGCAGTGGGCGGGGTCCGCCTGGGTGGAGGGCAGTGGGCGGGGTCTGCTGGATGGAGGGCAGTGGGCGGGGTCAGCCTGGGTGGAGGGCAGTGGGCGGGGTCCGCCTGGGTGGAGGGCAGTGGGCGGGGTCTGCTGGATGGAGGGCAGTGGGCGGGGTCCGCCTGGGTGGAGGGCAGTGGGCGGGGTCAGCCTGGGTGGAGGGCAGTGGGCGGGGTCCGCCTGGGTGGAGGGCAGTGGGCGGGGTCCGCCTGGGTGGAGGGCAGTGGGCGGGGTCTGCTGGATGGAGGGCAGTGGGCGGGGTCAGCTTGGGTGGAGGGCAGTGGGCGGGGTCAGCCTGGTGGAGGGCAGTGGGCGGGGTCTGCCTGGGTGGAGGGCAGTGGGCGGGGTCTGCCTGGGTGGAGGGCAGTGGGCGGGGTCTGCCTGGGTGGAGGGTAGTGGGCGGGGTCTGCTGGATGGAGGGCAGTGGGCGGGGTCTGCCTGGGTGGAGGGCAGTGGGCGGGGTCTGCAGGGTGGAGGGCAGTGGGCGGGTTCTGCTGGATGGAGGGCAGTGGGCGGGGTCTGCTGGATGGAGGGCAGTGGGCGGGGTCCGCCTGGGTGGAGGGCAGTGGGCGGGGTCCGCCTGGGTGGAGGGCAGTGGGCGGGGTCTGCCTGGGTGGAGGGCAGTGGGCGGGGTCTGCCTGGGTGGAGGGCAGTGGGCGGGGTCTGCCTGGGTGGAGGGCAGTGGGCGCGGTCCGCCTGGGTGGAGGGCAGTGGGCGGGGTCTGCTGGATGGAGGGCAGTGGGCGGGGTCTGCTGGATGGCGGGCAGTGGGCGGGGTCCGCCTGGGTGGAGGGCAGTGGGCGGGGTCCGCCTGGGTGGAGGGCAGTGGGCGGGTCTGCCTGGGTGGAGGGCAGTGGGCGGGGTCTGCTGGATGGAGGGCAGTGGGCGGGGTCTGCTGGGTGGAGGGCAGTGGGTGGGGTCTGCCTGGGTTTTGAGGTCAGTGGGCGGGGTCTGCTAGATGGAGGGCAGTGGGCGGGGTCTGCTAGATGGAGGGCAGTGGGCGGGGTCTGCCTGGGTGAGGGCAGTGGGCGGGGTCTGCTGGATGGAGGGCAGTGGGCGGGGTCTGCCTGGGTGGAGGGCAGTGGGCGGGGTCTGCTGGATGGAGGGCAGTGGGTGGGGTCTGCCTGGGTGGAGGGCAGTGGGTGGGGTCTGCCTGGATGGAGGGCAGTGGGCGGGGTCTGCTGGATGGAGGGCAGTGGGCGGGGTCTGCTGGGTGGAGGGCAGTGGGCGGGTTCTGCTGGGTGGAGGGCAGTGGGCGGGGTCTGCTGGGTGGAGGGCAGTGGGCGGGGTCTGCTGGGTGGGAGGGCAGTGGGCGGGTTCTGCTGGGTGGAGGGCAGTGGGCGGGGTCTGCTGGGTGGAGGGCAGTGGGCGGGGTCTGCTGGGTGGAGGGCAGTGGGCGGGTTCTGCTGAGTTGAAGACAGTGGGCGGGGTCTGCTGGATGAAGGGTAGTGGGCGGGGCCCACTGCCCAATGTGGGGCCCACTGTAGTTACCGTAATACAGTAACTACAGCAGCAGTAGTACAGTAACTACAGCAGCAGTAGTACAGTAACTACAGCAGCAGTAGTACAGTAACTACAGCAGCAGCAGTAGTACAGTAACTACAGCAGCAGCAGTAGTACAGTAACTACAGCAGCAGCAGTAGTACAGTAACTACAGCAGCAGTAGTACAGTAACTACAGCAGAAGTAGTACAGTAACTACAGCAGCAGTAGTACAGTAACTACAGCAGCAGTAGTACAGTAACTACAGCAGCAGTAGTACAGTAACTACAGCAGCAGTAGTACAGTAACTACAGCAGCAGCAGTAGTACAGTAACTACAGCAGCAGCAGCAGTACAGTAACTACAGCAGCAGTAGTACAGTAACTACAGCAGCAGTAGTACAGTAACTACAGCAGCAGCAGTAGTACAGTAACTACAGCAGCAGTAGTACAGTAACTACAGCAGCAGTAGTACAGTAACTACAGCAGAAGTAGTACAGTAACTACAGCAGCAGCAGTACAGTAACTACAGCAGCAGTAGTACAGTAACTACAGCAGCAGTAGTACAGTAACTACAGCAGCAGTAGTAGTACAGTAACTACAACAGCAGTAGTACAGTAACTACAGCAGCAGCAGTAGTACAGTAACTACAGCAGCAGTAGTACAGTAACTACAACAGCAGTAGTACAGTAACTACAACAGCAGTAGTACAGTAACTACAGCAGCAGTAGTACAGTAACTACAGCAGCAGCAGTAGCACAGTAACTACAGCAGCAGCAGTAGTACAGTAACTACAGCAGCAGCAGTAGTACAGTAACTACAGCAGCAGCAGTACAGTAACTACAGCAGCAGTAGTACAGTAACTACAGCAGCAGTAGTACAGTAACTACAGCAGCAGTAGTAGTACAGTAACTACAGCAGCAGTAGTAGTACAGTAACTACAGCAACAGTAGTACAGTAACTACAGCAGCAGCAGTAGTACAGTAACTACAGCAGCAGCAATAGTACAGTAACTACAGCAGCAGCAGTAGTACAGTAACTACAGCAGCAGCAGTACAGTAACTACAGCAGCAGCAGTACAGTAACTACAGCAGCAGTAGTACAGTAACTACAGCAGCAGCAGTAGTACAGTAACTACAGCAGCAGTAGTACAGTAACTACAGCAGCAGTAGTACAGTAACTACAGCAGCAGCAGCAGTAGTACAGTAACTACAGCAGCAGCAGTACAGTAACTACAGCAGCAGTAGTACAGTAACTACAGCAGCAGTAGTACAGTAACTACAGCAGCAGTAGTACAGTAACTACAGCAGCAGTAGTACAGTAACTACAGCAGCAGTAGTACAGTAACTACAGCAGCAGTAGTACAGTAACTACAGCAGCAGTAGTACAGTAACTACAGCAGCAGCAGTAGTACAGTAACTACAGCAGCAGCAGTAGTACAGTAACTACAGCAGTAGCAGCAGCAGCAGTAGTACAGTAACTACAGCAGCAGTACAGTAACTACAGCAGCAGCAGTACAGTAACTACAGCAGCAGTAGTACAGTAACTACAGCAGCAGCAGCAACAGTAGTACAGTAACTACAGCAGCAGTAGTACAGTAACTGCAGCAGCAGCAGTAGTACAGTAACTACAGCAGCAGTAGTACAGTAACTGCAGCAGCAGTAGTACAGTAACTACAGCAGCAGCAGCAGTAGTACAGTAACTACAGCAGCAGCAGCAGCAGCAGCAGTACAGTAACTACAGCAGCAGTAGTACAGTAACTACAGCAGCAGTAGTACAGTAACTACAGCAGCAGTAGTACAGTAACTACAGCAGCAGTAGTACAGTAACTACAGCAGCAGCAGTAGTACAGTAACTACAGCAGCAGCAGCAGTAGTACAGTAACTACAGCAGCAGCAGTAGTACAGTAACTACAGCAGCAGTAGTACAGTAACTACAGCAGCAGTAGTACAGTAACTACAGCAGCAGTAGTACAGTAACTACAGCAGCAGTAGTACAGTAACTACAGCAGCAGTAGTACAGTAACTACAGCAGCAGCAGTACAGTAACTACAGCAACAGTAGTACAGTAACTACAGCAGCAGTAGTACAGTAACTACAGCAGCAGTAGTACAGTAACTACAGCAGCAGTAGTACAGTAACTACAGCAGCAGTAGTACAGTAACTACAGCAGCAGTAGTACAGTAACTACAGCAGCAGTACTACAGTAACTACAGCAGCAGTAGTACAGTAACTACAGCAGCAGTAGTACAGTAACTACTGCAGCAGTAGTACAGTAACTACAGCAGCAGTAGTACAGTAACTACAGCAGCAGCAGCAACAGTAGTACAGTAACTACAGCAGCAGTAGTACAGTAACTGCAGCAGCAGCAGTAGTACAGTAACTACAGCAGCAGTAGTACAGTAACTGCAGCAGCAGTACTACAGTAACTACAGCAGCAGCAGCAGTAGTACAGTAACTACAGCAGCAGCAGCAGCAGTACAGTAACTGCAGCAGCAGTAGTACAGTAACTACAGCAGCAGTAGTACAGTAACTACAGCAGCAGTAGTACAGTAACTACAGCAGCAGTAGTACAGTAACTACAGCAGCAGTAGTACAGTAACTACAGCAGCAGTAGTACAGTAACTACAGCAGCAGCAGCAGTACAGTAACTACAGCAGCAGCAGCAGTACAGTAACTACAGCAGCAGCAGCAGTACAGTAACTACAGCAGCAGCAGCAGTACAGTAACTACAGCAGCAGCAGTAGTACAGTAACTACAGCAGCAGCAGTAGTACAGTAACTACAGCAGCAGCAGTAGTACAGTAACTACAGCAGCAGTAGTACAGTAACTACAGCAGCAGTAGTACAGTAACTACAGCAGCAGTAGTACAGTAACTACAGCAGCAGTAGTACAGTAACTACAGCAGCAGTAGTACAGTAACTACAGCAGCAGTAGTACAGTAACTACAGCAGCAGCAGTAGTACAGTAACTACAGCAGCAGTAGTACAGTAACTACAGCAGCAGTAGTACAGTAACTACAGCAGCAGTACAGTAACTACAGCAGCAGCAGTAGTACAGTAACTACAGCAGCAGTAGTACAGTAACTACAGCAGCAGTAGTACTGTAACTACAGCAGCAGTAGTACAGTAACTACAGCAGCAGCAGTAGTACAGTAACTACAGCAGCAGTAGTACAGTAACTACAGCAGCAGTAGTACAGTAACTACAGCAGCAGCAGTAGTACAGTAACTACAGCAGCAGTAGTACAGTAACTACAGCAGCAGCAGTACAGTAACTACAGCAGCAGTAGTACAGTAACTACAGCAGCAGCAGTAGTACAGTAACTACAGCAGCAGCAGTACAGTAACTACAGCAGCAGTAGTACAGTAACTACAGCAGCAGTAGTACAGTAACTACAGCAGCAGTAGTACAGTAACTACAGCAGCAGCAGTGGTACAGTAACTACAGCAGCAGCAGTAGTACAGTAACTACAGCAGCAGCAGTAGTACAGTAACTACAGCAGCAGCAGTAGTACAGTAACTACAGCAGCAGCAGTAGTACAGTAACTACAGCAGCAGCAGTAGTACAGTAACTACAGCAGCAGCAGTAGTACAGTAACTACAGCAGCAGTAGTACAGTAACTACAGCAGCAGCAGTAGTACAGTAACTACAGCAGCAGTAGTACAGTAACTACAGCAGCAGTAGTACAGTAACTACAGCAGCAGTAGTACAGTAACTACAGCAGCAGTAGTACAGTAACTACAGCAGCAGCAGTAGTACAGTAACTACAGCAGCAGTAGTACAGTAACTACAGCAGCAGTAGTACAGTAACTACAGCAGCAGTAGTACAGTAACTACAGCAGCAGCAGTACAGTACTACAGCAGCAGTAGTACAGTAACTACAGCAGCAGTAGTACAGTAACTACAGCAGCAGCAGTACAGTAACTACAGCAGCAGTAGTACAGTAACTACAGCAGCAGTAGTACAGTAACTACAGCAGCAGCAGTACAGTAACTACAGCAGCAGTAGTACAGTAACTACAGCAGCAGTAGTACAGTAACTACAGCAGCAGCAGTACAGTAACTACAGCAGCAGCAGTACAGTAACTACAGCAGCAGTAGTACAGTAACTACAGCAGCAGTAGTACAGTAACTACAGCAGCAGCAGTAGTACAGTAACTACAGCAGCAGTAGTACAGTAACTACAGCAGCAGTAGTACAGTAACTACAGCAGCAGCAGTAGTACAGTAACTACAGCAGCAGCAGGACAGTAACTACAGCAACAGTAGTACAGTAACTACAGCAGCAGTAGTACAGTAACTACAGCAGCAGTAGTACAGTAACTACAGCAGCAGTAGTACAGTAACTACAGCAGCAGTAGTACAGTAACTACAGCAGCAGCAGTACAGTAACTACAGCAGCAGTAGTACAGTAACTACAGCAGCAGCAGTAGTACAGTAACTACAGCAGCAGTAGTACAGTAACTACAGCAGCAGTAGTACAGTAACTACAGCAGCAGTAGTACAGTAACTACAGCAGCAGCAGTACAGTAACTACAGCAGCAGTAGTACAGTAACTACAGCAGCAGCAGTAGTACAGTAACTACAGCAGCAGCAGTACAGTAACTACAGCAGCAGCAGTAGTACAGTAACTACAGCAGCAGTAGTACAGTAACTACAGCAGCAGGAAGTGACAAACGCGCTGCCATCGAACAAGATATCACTTACAATACTAAGAGTGGACTACAGGATACTACAGAAGGACTACGGGCTCCAGGGTAAGAACTGGAGTCTACAAGAGAAGGTCTGCAGGCTACTACAGGACTGCAGGAGTACTGCAGGCTACTACAGGACTGCAGGAGTACTGCAGGCTACTACAGGACTGCAAGAGTACTGCAGGCTACTACAGGACTGCAGGAGTACAGCAGGCTACTACAGGACTGCAGGAGTACTGCAGGCTACTACAGGACTGCAGGAGTACTGCAGGCTACTACAGGACTGCAGGAGTACTGCAGGCTACTACAGGACTGCAGGAGTACAGCAGGCTACTACAGGACTGCAGGAGTACTGCAGGCTACTACAGGACTGCAGGAGTACAGCAGGCTACTACAGGACTGCAGGAGTACTGCAGGCTACTACAGGACTGCAGGAGTACTGCAGGCTACTACAGGACTGCAGGAGTACAGCAGGCTACTACAGGACTGCAGGAGTACTGCAGGCTACTACAGGACTGCAAGAGTACTGTAGACTACTACAGGACTGCAGGAGTACTGCAGGCTACTACAGGACTGCAGGAGTACTGCAGGCTACTACAGGACTGCAGGCTACTACAGGACTGCAGGAGTACTGCAGGCTACTACAGGACTGCAGGAGTACTGCAGGCTACTACAGGACTGCAAGAGTACTGCAGGCTACTACAGGACTGCAGGAGTACTGCAGGCTACTACAGGACTGCAGGAGTACTGTTGGCTACTACAGGACTGCAAGAGTACTGCAGGCTACTACAGGACTGCAAGAGTACTGCAGGCTACTACAGGACTGCAGGAGTACTGTAGGCTACTACAGGACTGCAGGAGTACTGCAGGCTACTACAGGACTGCAGGAGTACTGCAGGCTACTACAGGACTGCAGGAGTACTGTAGACTACTTCAGGACTGCAGGAGTACTGTAGGCTACTTCAGGACTGCAGGAGTACTGTAGACTACTTCAGGACTGCAGGAGTACTGTAGACTACTTCAGGACTGCAGGAGTACTGTAGACTACTTCAGGACTGCAAGAGTACTGTAGACTACTTCAGGACTGCAAGAGTACTGTAGACTACTTCAGGACTGCAGGAGTACTGTAGGCTACTACAGGACTGCAAGAGTACTGCAGGCTACTACAGGATTGCAGGAGTACTGTAGGCTACTACAGGACTGCAGGAGTACTGTAGGCTACTACTGGACTGCAGGAGTACTGCAGGCTACTACAGGACTGCAGGAGTACTGTAGACTACTTCAGGACTGCAAGAGTACTGTAGACTACTTCAGGACTGCAAGAGTACTGTAGACTACTTCAGGACTGCAAGAGTACTGTAGACTACTTCAGGACTGCAGGAGTACTGTAGGCTACTACAGGACTGCAAGAGTACTGCAGGCTACTACAGGACTGCAGGAGTACTGTAGGCTACTACAGGACTGCAGGAGTACTGTAGGCTACTACAGGACTGCAGGAGTACTGTAGGCTACTACAGGACTGCAGGAGTACTGCAGGCTACTACAGGACTGCAGGAGTACTGTAGACTACTTCAGGACTGCAGGAGTACTGTAGGCTACTACAGGACTGCAAGAGTACTGCAGGCTACTACAGGACTGCAAGAGTACTGCAGGCTACTACAGGACTGCAGGAGTACTGTAGGCTACTACAGGACTGCAGGAGTACTGCAGGCTACTACAGGACTGCAGGAGTACTGTAGACTACTACAGGACTGCAGGAGTACTGCAGGCTACTACAGGACTGCAAGAGTACTGTAGACTACTTCAGGACTGCAAGAGTACTGTAGACTACTTCAGGACTGCAGAAGTACTGTAGGCTACTACAGGACTGCAGGAGTACTGTAGACTACTTCAGGACTGCAGGAGTACTGTAGGCTACTACAGGACTGCAGGAGTACTGCAGACTACTTCAGGACTGCAAGAGTACTGTAGACTACTTCAGGACTGCAGAAGTACTGTAGGCTACTACAGGACTGCAGGAGTACTGTAGACTACTTCAGGACTACAGGACTGCAGGGGACTACAGGACTGCAGGAGTACTGCAGGCTACTACAGGACTGCAAGAGTACTGTAGACTACTACAGGACTGCAGGAGTACTGCAGGCTACTACAGGACTGCAGGAGTACTGCAGGCTACTACAGGACTGCAAGAGTACTGTAGACTACTTCAGGACTGCAAGAGTACTGTAGACTACTTCAGGACTGCAGAAGTACTGTAGGCTACTACAGGACTGCAGGAGTACTGTAGACTACTTCAGGACTACAGGACTGCAGGGGACTACAGGACTGCAGGAGTACTGCAGGCTACTACAGGACTGCAAGAGTACTGTAGACTACTACAGGACTGCAGGAGTACTGCAGGCTACTACAGGACTGCAGGAGTACTGCAGGCTACTACAGGACTGCAAGAGTACTGTAGACTACTACAGGACTGCAGGAGTACTGCAGGCTACTACAGGACTGCAAGAGTACTGTAGACTACTACAGGACTGCAGGAGTACTGCAGGCTACTACAGGACTGCAGGAGTACTGTAGACTACTTCAGGACTACAGGACTGCAGGCTACTACAGGACTGCAGGAGTACTGCAGGCTACTACAGGACTGCAAGAGTACTGTAGACTACTACAGGACTGCAGGAGTACTGCAGGCTACTACAGGACTGCAGGAGTACTGCAGGCTACTACAGGACTGCAAGAGTACTGTAGACTACTACAGGACTGCAGGAGTACTGCAGGCTACTACAGGACTGCAAGAGTACTGTAGACTACTACAGGACTGCAGGAGTACTGCAGGCTACTACAGGACTGCAAGAGTACTGTAGACTACTACAGGACTGCAGGAGTACTGCAGGCTACTACAGGACTGCAGGGGACTACAGGACTGCAGAGGCAGCTGGGTGTGTGAGGCAGCTGGGAGTGTGTGAGGCAGCTGGGAGTGTGTGAGGCAGCTGGGAGTGTGTGAGGCAGCTGGGAGTGTGTGAGGCAGCTGGGAGTGTGTGAGGCAGCTGGGAGTGTGTGAGGCAGCTGGGTGTGTGAGGCAGCTGGGAGTGTGTGAGGCAGCTGGGAGTGTGTGAGGCAGCTGGGAGTGTGTGAGGCAGCTGGGTGTGAGGCAGCTGGGAGTATGAGGCAGCTGGGAGTGTGAGGCAGCTGGGAGTATGAGGCAGCTGGGAGTATGAGGCAGCCCTCATGATAAGACACACTGCTGGCTGAAAGCAACTTCTAAGGAGGGTTACTCTGCACTTCGATGGCGTTCCCAATGGTGCTCGCGTCGTCCCTATTCTCTTTGCCTGTGTCTCTATCTCACAGCCTATGTCTTTCGCTGTCTCTGTCTCTCTTGTGTATGTCTCTTTGTCTCTCTCTCTTGTGTGCGTCTCTGCTTTTTTCTCTATTTGTCTGTCTCCCCGTCTTTCTCTTTATCTGAATCAGTCTGTCTTTCTAACTCTATGAATGTGAATTAGGTCTTTCTAACTCTGTGAATGTGAATTAGGTCTTTCTAACTCTGTGAATGTGAATTAGGTCTTTCTAACTCTGTGAATGTGAATTAGGTCTTTCTAACTCTGTGAATGTGAATTAGGACTGTTTGTGATGTTCTTAATAAACCCCCAAACTACAGCGCTTCAGATGAGCTAACCCCCCACATCAGCTCAGCTGAAGCCTGGCCTTAGAACCTTATTTATTTGATGTCTTAATTAACTGTATCAAGATTAGGAGTACATTCAATTTAATGCTAACAATCGGGGTAAGGAACAGGCTGAGCCAACAACCAAGTGTGTTCCAGAACCTTAAACTGGTCGTTTGAGTTGATTTCACGCGAATGTGTTTGTGTTGAGCGAACAAGGTCCAGTTGAGCCTTGGAATGGATGATCGCTGATGGGGAGGTGTTCGCATGCATTGCCATGGCGAACAGTATGCCTGTATGTTCAAATTCTTCCCCCTCCACCTCTGGCTCGCCCATCGGCTGTAGTGCATATTAATATATATTATGGTGACGCGCGATTGTTACTGTACAGCCGAGACAATATTTTCTAGTCCTGGCGGGCTTGGTGGCGCGGGTTGTATCTGTGTTGTGAACTCTCTACACACACTCTGGGGGGGTAGAAGTACTCTAAGCTACTCTATCCTTTTAAGATGTATTTCTTTCTTGTCTCAATAAATATACTTGAACTTGAACTTGATCTACACACTCACATGGTTCCTTTATCATTACTCCATTACTTAGGACATCTCTCCATACTCCGAGTCTTGCTCCTCACCCTGGATCTTGCTCCTCACCCTGGATCTTGTTCCTCACCCCGGATCTTGCTCCTCACCCTGGATCTTGCTCCTCACCCTGGATCTTGCTCCTCACCCTGGATCTTGTTCCTCACCCTGGATCTTGCTCCTCACCCTGGATCTTGTTCCTCACCCGGATCTTGCTCCTCACCCTGGATCTTGCTCCTCACCCTGGATCTTGCTCGTCACCCTGGATCTCGCACCTCACCATGGATCTTGCTCCTCACCCTGGATCTTGCTCCTTACCCTGGAGCTTGCTCCTCACCCTGGATCTCGCACCTCACCATGGATCTTGCTCCTCACCCTGGATCTTGCTCCTTACCCTGGATCTTGCTCCTTACCCTGGAGCTTGCTCCTCACCCTGGATCTTGCTCCTCACCCTGGATCTTGCTCCTCACCCTGGATCTTGCTCCTCACCCTGGATCTCGCACCTCACCATGGATCTTGTTCCTCACCCTGGATCTTGCTCCTCACCCTGGAGCTTGCTCCTCACCCTGGATCTTGCTCCTCACCCTGGAGCTTGCTCCTCACCCTGGATCTTGCTCCTCACCCTGGATCTTGCTCCTCACCCTGGAGCTTGCTCCTCACCATGGATCTTGCTCCTCACCCTGGAGCTTGCCCCTCACCCTGGATCTTGCTCCTCACCCTGGAGCTTGCTCCTCACCCTGGATCTTGCTCCTCACCCTGGATCTTGCTCCTCACCCTGGAGCTTGCTCCTCACCCTGGATCTTGCTCCTCACCCTGGATCTTGCTCCTCACCCTGGATCTCGCTCCTCACCCTGGAGCTTGCTCCTCACCCTGGATCTTGCTCCTCACCCTGGAGCTTGCTCCTCACCCTGGATCTTGCTCCTCACCCTGGATCTTGCTCCTCACCCTGGATCTTGCTCCTCACCCTGGATCTTGCTCCTCACCCTGGATCTTGCTCCTCACCCTGGAGCTTGCTCCTCACCCTGGAGCTTGCTCCTCACCCTGGATCTTGCTCCTCACTCTGGAGCTTGCTCCTCACCCTGGATCTTGCTCCTCACCCTGGAGCTTGCTCCTCACCCTGGATCTTGCTCCTCACCCTGGATCTTGCTCCTCACCCTGGAGCTTGCTCCTCACCCTGGATCTTGCTCCCTCACTCTGGATCTTGCTCCTCACCCTGGAGCTTGCTCCTCACCCTGGAGCTTGCTCCTCACCCTGGATCTCGCACCTCACCCTGGATCTTGCTCCTCACCCTGGAGCTTGCTCCTCACCCTGGATCTCGCACCTCACCCTGGAGCTTGCTCCTCACCCTGGATCTTGCTCCTGATATTGATTTATGAACCATTTTTGTAATTCAAACTGAGTTATGTGATCTCGTACCGGAATTACGCAGCTGTTAATCTGCAAGCGTACACCTGTGTCTTGTTCATAAAGGTCAACACCTGTCAGTATATTAGTGGGAAAGATTTCTTCACAGCACCTGTCGGTACAGCGGCAACCTGTCTTTACACATTCCGTCTGAATTTGGCAGTTTGCCCGTATGGCCGAAAATGGACGTAATTTGAATTTGAAAAATAATTGAAAATAAATTTTGAATTTTGTTTTCTTCCAAAACAAGTTAAGGGTCCTCTGGTAGGTTAGGAGGGCAAGACGTTATTTTAAAGTATCAAAACGTCATGGAAATTGTTAATTGAGAGTTTCATCTCCTAACCTAACCGAATAAGTCGATGGACTCAAACAGAAAACGGGACAGTAGGTCACTCTCGTGAGCCTATTTCATTACAAATTACGTCAATTTTTGGCCAATAGCGCACCATACGGGCGAAAAGTGACGGTATTTCAAGAGGACGGGTTGTCGGCCACCTGATGCACAGACTAACACGAGTTAACATATTAGCTCGAAGAAAACGGGGCACCTGTCGAAGTATCTACTGATCTCCTGAATCATGCTATGTCAACTGTTTTATTTTGAGCAGTTATAACACTATGGTAACTCTTTATCATTTCTATTTGAATATATATATATATATATATATATATATATATATATATATATATATATATATATATATATTGTGCAGGTGTTTGTGAGTTTAACTGTGACCTGGTGACTTACGAGTCACGTGCCGGCTGTTCTAGGCCGATCTTACAAGGTGACACAATATTTATGATTTTTATGACAGTGATAACTACAGTGGAACATGACAGTGATAACTACAGTGGAACATGACAGTGATAACTACAGGGGAACATGACAGTGATAACTACAGTGGAACATGACAGTGATAACTACAGTGGAACATGACAGTGATAACTACAGGGGAACATGACAGTGATAACTACAGTGGAACATGACAGTGATAACTACAGTGGAACATGACAGTGATAACTACAGTGGAACATGACAGTGATAACTACAGTGGAACATGACAGTGATAACTACAGGGGAACATGACAGTGATAACTACAGTGGAACATGACAGTGATAACTACAGGGGAACATGACAGTGATAACTACAGTGGAACATGACAGTGATAACTACAGGGGAACATGACAGTGATAACTACAGTGGAACATGACAGTGATAACTACAGTGGAACATGACAGTGATAACTACAGGGGAACATGACAGTGATAACTACAGGGGAACATGACAGTGATAACTACAGGGGAACATGACAGTGATAACTACAGTGGAACATGACAGTGATAACTACAGGGGAACATGACAGTGATAACTACAGTGGAACATGACAGTGATAACTACAGGGGAACATGACAGTGATAACTACAGGGGAACATGACAGTGATAACTACAGGGGAACATGACAGTGATAACTACAGGGGAACATGACAGTGATAACTACAGGGGAACATGACAGTGATAACTCAACCCGTTCTCGCACTTGCTTATAGTCAATATCTTGCTTATGTATAAGTGCATATGTGACATACTAATTTATTGTGAATATTTGAGTTTACCTTGAAAAGATGAATAGAAAACCACAACCTAACCTAACCTTCTTGGTATGTTAAGCTATTACAATTATTACTGAACCTATACCTATATTTATATTACAGTTTTATAAAAATAATAAAACAAAACTAAAATATTTAAATAAATTGTAAAGTAACTTAGGATATTGTCAAATTTTGTATAAAATCTCTTTTGTTTAATAAAACTGAGAGGAAAAGTTAGTGCCTTGAAAAAAAATATGGTTGGGAATATGTCACATATGTACTTATTTATAAGCGAAATAGTGACTATAAGCAATAAGTCATATATGTGCTGCCTTGTGCGAGAGCGGGTTGCAGTGACACTGTAGACCCCAGCAGTGAACCTCCCCAGGCTGGGGTTGCAGCGACTCTCGCTACACATTAGCGTCAACACTAACAATTCTCCAGCGACTCTCGCTACACATTAGCGTCAACACTAACAATTCTCCAGCGACTCTCGCTACATATTAGCGTCAACACTAACAATTCTCCAGCGACTCTCGCTACACATTAGCGTCAACACTAACGATTCTCCAGCGACTCTCGCTACATATTAGCGTCAACACTAACAATTCTCCAGCGACTCTCGCTACACATTAGCGTCAACACTAACGATTCTCCAGCGACTCTCGCTACACATTAGCGTCAACACTAACGATTCTCCAGCGACTCTCGCAACATATTAGCAGATGATCTATCTGTTTTGGTGTTGGCAGTTGTTTAATGTACCGTTGGGGTAGTTTAGCCGGGACAGTCTGAGGAAACACGGACATGGAAGGGAGAAGAACAGCTGTTTTATAAAACGTGCGGAAATGGTGCCTAAACACCTGTGGAACACCTGTACTTACCTCTAAGCAGGTATTCGAGGAAGTTTTTATCGTCTTCGTCCATGGTGCCGTAGGTGTGGGGGGGAGGCACCTGTAACCCACCTGTACGAGAGATAGTGGACTTGTGGGACACAGGATGGACATGGAAAACTGTCGGACATTTGTTGAGGTATCTAATAACACCTCCTTATATTGGACACCTGTTGAACTCAAGGAACGTGTATTGGAAGTTGGGAGAGACTGGACACGTGGGACACATATATACATTGAGACACTTGGACATGGAGACATCTGGGGCATGAGGACACGTGGGCATGGGAACAACTGCTAAACATAGTAAACATGTGTTGGACATTGATAATACCAAAACACTTTGGACACCTAAACATCTCAAGAAAATATTCTATATGTGAATATATTTGTAAAGTCTTTAAGGCACATAACGGATATGTGGAACAGCTGGGCAACATATGTAGTCCAGAAGACCTTTGTCAACTGCCATAAACACCTAACAAACACGTGGGAACACATGTTTGGCACGGGAGGACAGCTGAGGGGTTATATGGAGTATTCAATGGTCTTGAGGCAACACATGCCGCACATATTAAACACCTGTGTTGCTTGTGGGGAGCATCTACAGGGCACGTGGGCCCACCTGCACATGTCAGCACCTGCACATGTCAGCACCTGCACATGTCAGCACCTGCACATGTCAGCACCTGCACATACACCATCTGAAATCGTTTTAACACAAGCACACCTATATTCACACACACACACACACACACACACACACACACACACACACACACACACACACACACACACACTTCGCTG